CCCGCTATCCTCACTTTACGTCCCTAAAACAATTAACCCAAGGGACCTAGCCTAAGGATTTTCATCGGGGCGACAACACTGCTTTGGGGGTTTCCCAACAATTTATGTCAAATAAGGCAACCATGGGGGGGGGGGGATGGAGTACAACAAATGAACACCCAAGTTCATTAAGACCTACATGTTATGAGCCTGCTATAGTTCCACTGGACTGTCTAGAAAAGTCAGTGGTCGTCATCTATACTCCGCTAGATGACTAAATAAGCAACAACAACGAGGCCTCTCATAATTTTATTTCATCACACACCAACTGTCTACCCATGTTCTACCCAACATATTAGTAGATAAAAATATATACATTTATATACAGCTTAAACTTGTGCAAATCATTCATTAAACAATTATTTCAAATAAACAAATAATATATAAAGACATAACACGTATTTTATAAAGAATACTTCATATCTATGTGTTAGAAGAAAGTGACTACACACTCACATGATAAGACGATGATCGGACAGCACCTCGTCTATTAAAATAATCTTTTCCGATATAACCGGGACGTTTTCTTCAAAACCGGGCTTTACGCGGGCAGAGTTTCGGCTTGAAAACTATATTTCTCGGGATCTTCGGGGCTTCGGGACTAGCTTCGGGAGTCGGGATTAATACCGGGGATTTGGGGGTATATCTTGCACGCAAAACGAGGAAATACGGGAGAGAGAGAAGAAATTTGGCAAAAAGGTTTGGCAGCCTCGGCCTTCTATTTATAGCAGCGAGACCTCGGACTACGATGGGCGTACCGAGGCCCTACGCTGGGTGTACTTCGGATAAGAGTGCTAGGTGGCGAACTTCGGGTGGGGCGACGTGGCCTCTTCTGGACCGAGGAAAGCAGCTGTACGCGGGGCGTAACTTCTTTCGACGCGGAGCGTACCTCGCTGTCGACATGTACGCTGGGCGTACCTCCTTGTACGCTGGGCATACCTCGCATCCCTAGGCTCCCTTCGGATAAGTTTTGGTATGCGTGCCTCGAACTTCAAGAATTCATAACTTTTGCATACGAGCTCTGTTTTCAACGTTCTTTATATCCACGCGTAGGTGAGATTATACTCTACAACTCTCGTTTAGACTCTATTAGCTAATTTTGACTTTATTTTTATTATTTTATTTTTAACAGGCCGGGACAGGAAAAGTCCGTTAAAAATTCATAACTTCTTCATCCGACGTCCGTTTTCGTCTGTCTTTTTACCGTTGCACTACTAATAACGAGATCTTCGATTCTCGTTTAGATTGTTTCGGCCAAAAATCACTCCATCTCATATTCGAGTTTCGGGCTGCATACTGCTAAGCTGAAACTTAGAAAAATCATAACTTCCTCATATGAAGTCAGATTTAGACGTTCTTTTTATGCACGCTCTCGGTTTAACATATGCTACGAATTTTGTTTAGATCACTAAGGCTAAAAATCGCTCTATCGTAAATTTACATTTTACGTCATTTAGCGTTGTGTCGGTTCTGTCGCGAAACTTCGACATGTCATAACTCCTTCGTTATAACTCGGATTTCGGTATTTTTTATATCTCCGGAATCCTTGCCACGACCACTACAACTTTCTTCATAGATATCGAACTTACCTAGTATTTTATTGTTACGCTTATTTTTTTTATTCTTAATTCATTTAAGCCACAAAATTAAACATAAAACACATAATACTCAAATGATACATTTCTATTATTTCAAAATGAGTTACAAAGGTTAACCTAGACTATTACATCAATATTAATGCCTAGCCTAGAAACACGGGTGTTACACCATCTTCACGCCTTCATCGGAGTTTAGGCGAACACCACCATCTTCAAGTCACCTTCTCAGGCGACCATCTTCCTCAGCAAACCCTTCGATTACGATGATGATCTGGGTGGGTGTTGCAAATCCATAAGGAGGGAAGCCACAAGCCAGTTTCCAGATAATCAGAACATAAGAACGGCGAGACTGAAGAAGATGGCGACACCATTTTTCGATAAAAATGAGCTTACGAGATCTGAAATCTGATGAACAGATCTGAACGCCTGTGAACGACGAACAAATATGAACTCCTCTAAACGATAAAACGTCGAAGATGGGGAGAACGAAGGCGGCGACGATGTAGGGTTTGTTGAGGAAGATGGAAAACCTGATGGTCCGGCAAGAGGTGGTGTTCCGACGAATAGTTTGCAGATCGAGTCGAAGAATGATAATCGTCGCTGGAAATTCGACCGCAGACGCTGATGACGAGCAGATACGGTGGCACGGGCGAAATACAGATCTGGACAAATGAAAGTTTACAAATCGAGTTGTAGTGGTGGTGTTCAGATCACCGAAAAAACGAAGGTTTACAGATTTGAACGGTGGCGACCAGATCGGAGATCGGAGGATTATAGATGGACGATGGCGACGAGATGGTGGTCTATGGCAGGAGGAGGCGGTGCTATAGTCAGAGAAGGAGGAGATCCGACGAGTAGCCTTCGTCGGAGCCGGAGATCCGATGAAATGGTTTGCAGTCATAGGATTTAGAAGTGTATGTAATGTAGAGAGAGAGTGTGAAATATAATGATTTTTCTTTTTTCTTTTATTCTTTTTTAGTTATTGTAATTTTAAAAAAATGAATATATAAAGGGTAAAATCGTCATTTTAAAAAAAATCAAAACAAATTGGACCAAACTCGCAACAAAATAAAAACTTTGGACCTGTGGTGCTAGTCCAAATATTTTTGGACCAAAGTGGCAATTTTGAGCAAACCACATGGACCATTTGTGCAGTTTAGTCTTAAAAAAACCCACACTTTAAACCAAATATTTTAGGTTTGATTAAGTTTGTAACATTTGCAAAATGTAAGCCTATAAAAAATACCACCAAACAATTGTCTTCCTCTAATTTAGAGTTGTCTTTTTATAGAGGAGACTTGACATTCACCTTCCACCAACAATATGGGATGAGATGAGATTTAGAGTTGTCTTTTTATAGAGGAGACTTGACCTTCACCTTCCACCAACAATATGTGATGAGATGAGATTTCTTCATACCATATGTCTTTCATTATTTCAACAAGTAGAAATGAATTTCTCATTTTGATTAGTATTTTTTTCTCAAAATCGGTGTCACCGGGTTTAAACTCGGAGCCTAACATAATATATCATGCATAGTTAGAATTACAAATTAAAGTTATGTGTAAAATGTAGTATAGTATGTTTTATTAGGTACCTGTTTTGGTATTTGATATGGTCATGATGACAGTTGAAATGAGTCTTTCTTTTTTATTAGTATTTTTTTTTACCAAAATTGGTGATATCAGGTTTAAACTCGGAACTTAACTTAATATATCATCCATAATTAGCATTACAAATAAAAATTATGCGTAAAAAATTACATATTATTATGTTTTATCAGGTCATTGTTTTGGTGGTTGACATGACAATGTTGACATTAGAAATAAGTTTCTCATTTTAATTAGTATTTATTTTTTTTTATCAAAACCAGTGTCACTAGGTTTAAACCTGAAACTTGACATAATATATCATTCATAGTTAGCATTGCAAATAAAATGTATGCGTAAAAAATTAATATATTAATATGTTTTATTAGGTACTTGTTTTGGTAGTTGACATGATCATGTTAACCGTATAAACTTTTTACCCCTAGGAGACGAAATTAAGTAGTGGTTTGGGACCTACAAGACCCATACCACGTCCGCCCCTGCGACTATCGTACATTTAACAAATTTTATATTTCATGACATTTTTGATAAAAAAAAATCTCATATCAATTCATATGGATATTAGAATATTCACTGAATATTACCTATCAGGTTTTGGTATGGATTATTCAAAAAATAAAGTTTTTTTAAAATAAAGGTTAGAGATAAGGGTTTTGTAATCAATGTATCCAAATATCTTATTGATTATGTATGATCACTTTCCTTATTATTTTTCTCATCCTTATAACATTATTGATTCAACCCAGGATAATCCGTAAGGAACACTCAAAATTCTATGCATTAAAATCAATGAGTTTTTTTTCGAGAGTATGGATTGTTATATTTTCTTAAAAGTGTTCAAAATGGGTGAAATATAAATATCAGTGGCGGAATTTCAATCTTTCATTTTGGGGGGGGGGGGGGACAGTCAAAATTTTATATTTTTAGGCCTAATATGTATAAAACTAAAGTATAGAGACTATTTCTGCCAAAAAAATCAGGGGGAGGGGGGCTGTGATAAATATATATATACTCATCTAATATGAAAATTTGATAAAATTGACAAAAATTTTCAAATATGCAGTTGAAAAACAATTTGTGTAAAAACTACACAAACAACTCTAACTTTCAGATTGGAGTTGTCGTAGGCGGCTTGGACGTCTAGTTTTGCCAAGATAGCTTGAGTTACGTTCGAGCAACCCTAAATTCTAATTGATTTCTCAACTTTCTTCATTATGATGATGCTTTTCCAACGCATTGAAAATTGAAATCCAAAATCCTATAGAGGTTTTGGGGTGTTGCTTCAAAATACGCGAGACACTCCCCCTCGACACTAACCGCTGACCGGTCAACACCAAAGGTTTGGTCCCTTGGACCCCACAAAAGGGACGAGACCACCTTGATCATATATTTAATCATGTTTGGAATAGATATATAGATGTAGATTTATAAATAGCATTAGAGAATCTGAGTTTGGTGTTCCTTAAAAAAAAATTAATACAAAAACAACAAAATATACCATTTGACATTTATAGCAGTTTTTTTAGTTAGATTATATATATTTAAGACTTTTTATGTACTTTGAAGGTCATTTTTGTGTTTATTAATAAAAAAAAAGAGAATAGAAAAAATTAGGACGCACCGGTGTCTTCCTGGTCCGCCCACGTATGGGAAAATACCTTTTTCCAGAACAAGATTCATCGCATATAAGACAAGTCACGCTATAACCATATATACAATATGCATTATGTGTTGTACCTTCTTTGCTGTTCAACCTCAATTATATCATCATTTTCATAAAATCTTACAGAAACACAGATCGAAATTGGCGTCCCTTTTCACCACCACTTGTTGATCTCAATCTCTCTCTGCAGATTTGAAATCTTGTTCGATTATGGCTATGCGTAGAAGAACTTTGCTCAAGGTCATCGTCCTTGGCGACAGTGGGTATGTATGTAGATTTTTGATTTAGGGTTTGATTTGAAACTCGATTTCGTTCTCATGATTTTTACTTTTGAAATTTCACGTGATTTCTTTTCAGGGTTGGTAAGACGTCATTGATGAATCAGTATCCTGCTAACTTTTATGTTTTTCTTTAGACTCGTCGGTATGGGACCAAAAACGCCGTGGAGGGCCGATATGGCACCTCCACAACGTCGTCGTAACGACGACGGAGAGCGACGCCCCGTTCTTCTCTCTTCCTTCATCTATTTTTCTTCTTTCTTAGCCTCACAATGGCGTTGAATGCTTCGAACACCACCCCTAAAAAAGGTGGAGAGAAGAAGAATATTGATGCTTTTCCCGTTTTATTTGTATTTCTCGCTTTATCCTTTGAACGGAATATCTTGCTTTAGTAGAAAAGTACTTTTAGATTTTAGAATGTAGTGTTTAAGGTCTCATCCCCATGAAAGTTGTAACAAAGTTACAATGATCCTGTTTTTTGGGGCAAATTTACATTTCTACATCTTATTTTTTCATTTTATCTTTCTAACTCTTCTATATCATTGATGTTTAAGATACTTGATTAACAGCTAAACAGTTTATAGTTATACACTCAATATGCTGAATCTATCGGTTATTGTGAGTTTCTTTTAACTATTTTTTAGATATGTACATAAGAAATTCAGTCAGCAATATAAAGCTACAATCGGAGCTGATTTTGTCACCAAAGAATTGCAAATAGATGACAGACTTGTCACTTTACAGGTGAGTTAATTCTTTATTCTTAATTCTTAATTGTGTTAGTTTGTACCTAATTCATTTTTTCTTCACTCAAATCATAAAATTCGTTCCAAGATATGGGACACAGCTGGACAAGAGAGGTTTCAAAGTCTTGGTGTTGCATTTTATCGAGGAGCAGATTGTTGTGTTCTTGTGTATGATGTGAATGTGATGCGATCTTTTGATACACTTGATAATTGGCATGAGGAATTTCTCAAACAGGTATGTTAATTTGTTAATTTGTAATTCTAGTTTAATCAATTCATATTAATTATTTTTATTTTGTTTTTAGGCAAATCCACCAGAGCCAAGTACTTTTCCTTTCATATTGCTTGGTAACAAGGTCGATATAGATGGTGGAAATAGTCGAGTGGTATGGTTTCATTTTTTTAATAATTTAAAATTTTAAACTTTGAAGATTGATGTAAATGTAATTTTACTAATTTACTAAAAGTATTTTAATTTTTAGGTTTCTGAGAAAAAAGCAAGGGAATGGTGTGCTTCAAAAGGGAATATTCCTTACTTTGAGACTTCTGCAAAAGAAGACTTTAATGTTGATGCTGCATTTTTGTCTATTGCAAGAACTGCAATGGCAAATGAGCATGAACAGGATATGTAAGTGCACATAAAAAACAATAATTATTATTATTTCTTTCCAATTTTCTAAATATACAATGCTATATATGTAATACAACAGATGAATGAAAGTAATTTGCTATTTCTGATTTTTTTTTTGGGTTATATTATACAGATATTTCCAGGGTGTCCCGGAGGCTGTTCCAGAAACAGAGCAACGAGGTGGCTGTGCTTGTTAATCATATTGTCTGTTTGCTTGTTGCTGATGTCATCCTTGGCATTTTTATACGTAAGGCTGGCTCACAACACGTGTGTTTTTTTCTATTTTCAAAAATTTGAAACTTAAAGTGTTGATTTTTTTGTACCTTTTTAAAAATTTTCTTGTGGGATTCTTTTATTGAACATTTTACAATATTTGTAACATGCTTTTATAACCTTGAGATTTTTCTGGAAGTTATACACATTTTTGGTGCCTTTGATATAAACTTTTAGTGGTCTTATTGTTTTTCTTTTCTAGACCTTTTTAGACCGAAGACTAATATGATTAATATTTGTTGGTTTTAATAATATTCATTATTTTTAATGCGAGAGGAGTTATACTGTTAAAAAAAAAAAAAAGCAAATAGGCAAAGGGATAGTGTCTTATTCCATTAAGGAATTTTTCTATACATTGTGTACTTTTAAGTTCTAACATCAAATTACATATAGAATAAGAATCACACCGGTTAATAAGCTTTTAATTATAAGTTTTTAACGTATATCTTTTAATCCATAAAATAAGAATAAACGATGCAATGTACACGAAATTAGCATCGTGGCATGTGTTGGGGTGGTGGTAGGATGCGTTCTTGAGCCTCTTTGCCATTCTTAACGATGAATACTGTTTCCATCCCCCATGTAAGGTGACGTTCAAGATGACAATGCATGAACCATACTCCTGTTCCAAATTTATTATTATTATAAAAACAATTCAAGATTTATATTAAAAAAAAACTATGTAACGTAATATGCATCTTACCAGGGTTATGAGCTTTGAACCTAATCGCAACCCATCCATTTATTGGAACAATGACTGTGTTTCGATGAGGCGGGTCAACGAGGTTATACTTCAACGGGTCATTAATTTTGTCAAAGTTACCAAATCCCCATCCAAGGATGTAAAAATCGAATCCATGCAAATGCATAGGATGATCAATACCCGCTACCAAGTTTGTTCCTTGAAAAACCACTTCTATGATTGAATTATACTCAATCACCCTCACTTCCGTAGCCCTCTTAGGTGTTAGTAAAATCGATGGTAATTTGGTACTCGTAAAGTTGAAAAACAATGGAGGAACACTTGGAAACCGTGTCCCAAACACACCGTTGATGTTATAATAGTATGCTTCAAGTATATCAATAAACGGAGATACAAAACTTATGTTGTTCATACTAGCTGCTAGTCGTGTATCATTTGGCCCTGCACATGAATTGTTCTGACATGGGAATGCGTTTACAGAAACGGTGGAATATATTTGCATATCGTACTTGTTTAATGGGAATAAGAGTGGGCCCGGGCTCTTCAGACTGATAAGAAAGTCAAAAGCCGCACCGGAGTCGTTGTAAAAAGGTAGAGAAGGGAAGGGAGTGGTTGTTGATAAATTAGATCTATTATCATATTCAATGATTGCGGTGGTGGTGGTGTTATCAAAAGGAATGCCAAACGCGGTGGAATATGCTCTGGCAGCCATGTAGTAACTGCCACCGGCCGCCTGGGTTGCTTCTAACAAGCAATCAAGTGTTTGGCCGGGGGCGATTACTGCACATTCTTTTGTCAATGGCTTGGTGTAGCCACCATCGGCTCCCACAATTGTTAGTGAATGATTAGCAATGGCGAAAAAGAGGATTTCATTCATTGCAGCATTCACCATACGTAAAAGATATCTTTTCCCGTATTTCACATTTAACTTGAAGGTATCTGTAAAAAAACGTGTTAACCTTGAAATACTTTCTTTACAAAAGTTCGAGCTTCCAAGCATGTTAAATTAAGAAACTAACCTTGGCTCGAACATGGATAAAGATCACCCGGTTGACCATTGATGGTATAAGCATCAGAGTCTCTTGGGGCACCACCTGATGCGACAAATTCCTCGACCACTTCCATGATATCTTCTTTCCACCACTCTCCTGAAAGAATGAACATTTTTTTATTGAAATATTTTATTTATTCAACAATGTTAACTTAAATGGATCAATCGGTTTATTATGAGAAATAGTTACCTGTTTTCTTTAATTTCTTATGGTGTGAACTTGTTTATGTGTGATATTCTAATTGTAGGCTAAATTTGGTTTGTATCTCAACTAGGAGTCTGACCCGGTTTTTGACCCGATGACTTTGGTAGTCCCTTCCCAATGATGAAACGTTGGATTAAGTTTTATAAGGTTCAACCAAGAAAGTGTGTTTGATGCTAGCATCAAGACTGAAGATTCTGACTTTAGTGATCTTGGTATGAATGTTGAGTCGAAATTTCTCAGTCATGATGTGGGTACTGACCGCTCTCACTTGGATGGACCAAGTGTTAGTCATTCTAAAGGGTTAGTCAAAATGAAGGTATAGACTTTGATGAAACCTTTTCTCTTGTAGCAAAAATGGTTACTATTAGACATGTTATTGATCTTGTTGTTAATAAAGATTGGGATTTCAACTTAATATTAATAATGATTTTCTGTTAATAAAGATTGGGTTTGTTTTTAATGATGGTAATATTAATGGTGTTGATAGTGATGAGTTCTTATTGTATGATTTTGATGACTTATTTTCAATTCCAGTTCATATTTTGTATGATAATAGTTTAACTATTCAGTTGGCTGCTAATCGAGTGTTTCATGAACACACAAAGCACATCCAAATAAATGTTTATTTTGTGTGTGATACAATTTTGGATAGAATTCACAGTAGTGAAGATGAGTTTTCAAGAGCATACTGCAATGAGAACTCGTCTTCACTACTATACATTTCATCCGAAAAGATTAAGTGATCCATTGAAGGTTAAGATTTAGGGAGGGTATTGAAATATGTATGTACCTTTAACGTATATGGATGAATGGTGTATTATATACGAAAAATAGTTACTTGTTTTCTTTTGTTTCTTATGTTGCAGTGAACTCGTTTGTGTGATATTCTAATCATGGGCTAAATCTGGTTCGTGGGCTAAGTAGATGGGTTGGAGGAATGGGCTGGACAAAAGTTATATTCAAATCTGAATGAAAGAGTGTTTTTTCAATGTTTTCGGTGATAAATTCGTTAAAGATATAAAAATATACATGCTAAACAAAGTATATATACGTACCAAAAATTATGGGCACTTCCTGATAAGGCTCGGGGAAGGGATAGGTGGTGCCACGTTTGGGGTACACGATGATAGCACCATGGACGGTGGCTCTAGACCAATCGCTGTGAGCATGCCACCATAGTGTCCCGATCTCCGATGAGAATATGATCTTGTAGTTAAACGAATCACCTGGTTGAATCGGACACTGTGTGATATATTCAGGACCATCACTCCATGGATTCCGTGGTTGCTTTACACCATGCCTGAGGTTTTGAACTCATTCATATACTTGTAAAAAAATTGTGAAGATTAATTAAGGATATATAATATGGTGTTGAGTTATATATATGAAATTATTGAGTTGATCATATTGCTTGATCATTCTCGTAAACTGTATGTTGTTTATATAACATTCTCGTGTTATTGTCGTGCTAAACTTGTGTGCATTGTGCGTATGAGTTCGTATCTTGTGGGTTTGTGTTAACAGCTTTCTTGGTCTGCTTCTGCAAATTTATTGGCAGCCATGAATATTTTAAAAAGTGTTTTATGAATTGCTTTTTTACTAAATAGAATCACTACGTTAAATATAAGTAATAAATTTACCTACTTTATACTCTTTTGAGGTGGAAAGTATTCATATCTAAGACTGGGATTATATTTTTTTTATAACTAAATACAAATTTTTACTTGAAATTAAAATAAAATCATTTTATTCTGTGCCGAAAGCGGGCTTAACTTCATGACCGTTGCTCTAAATTTATTTAAAAGTATGTATTTTGCCAAAATCATGAGCTAGCATCGATTTGTTATACTTTATTTTTTTTTCTTATTAACATAAAACAAATAAGAATAAATATGAGTTTTGATCTGATAGTTAAACGATAATATTTAACTATTAGTCAAATATCTTGCTAGCTTGTTTTCTATAAAATTCTTGCCGTTCAAAAAAAATTAGTCAAATATCTTTACATAAATATGAAATTAAAGAATCTTGTGACCAAGTTAAGTACTATGATGATGTTGTAATTTGTAATGAACAAGAAAAGAGTTTCAACTCATACCAATGAATGGTGATGTTGTATCTTCCATTGTTATGGACCTTGACATAAATTGTATCTCCTTCATGAACATACAACGTTGGTCCTGGAAATTGTTCATTTACTGTTAAAATGGTTTTCGTTTCACAAAGTCGTGTATATGATGCTTCCTTCACCTACACAATCAAATATTTATGTTTAATTTATGCGATTTAAACCTAATTTTGAATGAAATGTTCACCATAAAACTTTATGATATTAAAGGGACGAAAAATGCAAACTTTTATTTAAACATACTTACGAAGAACACATGATGTCGACCCCATGCTTCTGAATTAGTGAATCTTGCTAATGATAAAAAGAAGAACAACAAGATTTTGATACTTAAAGGCATTGTAGATGACCATGCATACAGCTTCTCTAGTCGAAGTCATGTGAATTTATACATAGAATTGCGTAAGTGGTAGGAGGTGATATTAATTCAAAAAAGTAACGTGTATAGACTATATCGTCATGTTTCCATTAAGCTTTTTACGTATTTAGTTGAGTTACTAAATTAAATCATTAAATTTACCTAAAGATAAAGTGGTCAAAACAATAATGAAAATAAATACTAATAAAATAAAACCCAACAATAATTTTGTAGAAATCAAAAATACTATATTTTCACAAAAAGATTATTTGCTACAAAACTCCAACGTCGTCGTAAATTCTATCGTTAAACGTAATATGAGATTTATGGGATAATCATGCACAAAACTCGCTTTTCAACGTGGCATTAACCTACGACTATTATTTTTCGACAAATAGCTACCTATGAAATTTGGTTATGAGTTTGGAAAAAACTATTCCACGAAAAAGTAAATAGTATAAAAAGAAAAAGTAAATAGTATAAAAAATTTCTTCACTTTTTAAATATTTTATGAGTTGCAAAAAACTAAAAGTTAGGAAACTAATAGCGGGGTTTAAGGTTTTCACTCTATAAGAAGAAATGAAGTTCGTTATATTGTTTCTTTTATATATCTTTGTTTTCAAAAGATGTCTAGAATTCGATAAAGTAAAAGATGTGAAGCACCTCCAATACGCGTTTGAGGTGTTAA